CCATATCAATCGGTCTTACAGTGTTATTTCATAAAAATAGGTTTTCAGATCAGTTATATATAATAAGTTTTTTCTATATTTACCATTTTTGCAAACTTGAAAGTTTTCAAACGCTTTGACAAATGAGACTTTAAGAAATGCATACAATCTTTGATATTCTACTCTAAGAATATCTGAGCCATAAATGTTGTTATGTTTTGTTTTTTTTCAAACTTTTGTTATTTTGCTATTATCGCCAATCACGAAATTCCTGCATCATCCGAAACGATACCACACAGAATGCGAACTTATTTATATGCCATTCACGTGCATTTTCAAACCATGTATCCGTTTGATAGTAATGTCATTAATGTAATGGTACAGGTTTAAATTCTACTTCTGAATATTTCAAGGTGTTAATATATATTAACTGTATGTTCCGGGCTAGAAATCCTTATCATCATTAATAAAGCCTTTAAAGCCCATTGTGCCACAAAATACTATAATTTTTTTTAACATTCTAATTTGAAGTATTATACATGAACTATCTTTTGCATCCTTTGTTATGCTGGCAATTGGTATAATTATAGTGAAATGGTTTAGTATAGGAGTTTGCTTCCTTAACGATACATAACTGCGTGTTCAGGGCTGCTTTTTCAGTTGTAAAACATCAAACATGCTTTTAATCCATCATTTAACACTATATATATGGACTTTTGAAGGCATAATGTGCCTTTAAGGATTTTTCAGATAAGTGACATTGTTGATATGGCGGCAACAATCATTCTGGAATATATAAATATCTTTCGTGCGTTTATTCATATATTTTATTGTTACATGCAACTACCCAAATATACAGGAATCCAGCCATTCATAATTTGATGAGATTTATTATTGATATATAACAAAAGTGTGCTTGAAAATGAAATGACATTGTGTATAGATACATGATCGTACTTTAAAAAACAATTTAAACACACATAATGTAAGAGAACACTAGAGAGTAAACTATAGGCGCGCAAATGAAAAAATACTATGTTCTTTGTCGGCGGCGACCCCCCCCCCCCCAACTGGGTAAAGTGTGAGTTTGTTGTTTTCGTTTCCTATTTAATAGGAAAAATAGTAAAGGAACTAAATGGATGTTCACTTTACTTTCATAACTGTAGCTGCAAACAATGGCTGGCGTCTGCATTTGTTTGTATTAATAACAAAACTCAAAAATAAGAGGGAAAGTTGTTATTTTGGCGGCACACTATTTAAAAGGTATGAGTGTTTGTGTACAGTACGATTTTGTTCGTGCATTAGTAAACATTTTGTCAATTACACAAGAAGTTGTTTACTAAATGTGTCAGACTCTTTATGCACTATCATTATTATACAAAGACTTCCATTCACAGAAGTATCTATCATTTCAATAAAACTGCTGAAACAGCACGTTGATTTTAGCTCGTCTTTTTTTATGAAAAAAAGTTTATTTATTATAATCGCTATGGCGTCGCTGTCGTGCAAAAAAGATTTAAATGTATTTTTTTAAACATTGCACAAGTCATCAACATATATCTTGGAATATTTTGTTATCGTTTCAAGGTGCAGTTTTTAAAACATTCACAATAGGCATATTTCTTAAAAACATTTTGGAGTTAAGCCCGTTTTTAACTAAGACTTTTTAATAGAAGAGCGTTAACTCCAGATGTGATTTTCTTGCTTGCACCCCTCGTCCACAGCCATGTAAATAACAAAATGTTAGGATATTTGCCATTATATATAATACTACAAATATATTTAACAAATGTTGTATATTAACGTTATTTCTATTTTTCTTTTAACCCGCATTAAAGTGACATTAGGCTCATTTGGTTTAACTGAATAAACTATAAAACAGAATGAGCTTCAAAAAGGTAAAAACAATTATAACCGTTACTGACAAAAAAGCTTATAAAAAGATAAAATATAATTTCAAAGCTGCGTAAATGTGAAAAAGTTCTGATCCACTCTATCATAAATTAAACATCGATGAAAAAATGAGAAAATAGTTTCAGGTTTGTTTGTGCATTATGGTTTATTGATTAAACATCTGAAGCAATACAACAATGTGCAGAAATCAAAATAATTTGTCAATAACGTAGAAAAACAAGAAACAGTGACCTTTGTCAACTTCCAACTAGGAGATTATAATATGGTAAACAAGATCAATAAAGAAAGGTGACATTCAATGAATGTCAACCCCCAAATCACATTTTCTTTACAACGTGCCAAAAGGAATGGATGGTTCACCTTTATGGCCAATGAGAAACCGTCGTATTAAACTTAGAAATAAAACACAATTTTAGAAATAAACATTTTGTCATTAGAGGGATTTATTACCCTTACGATGCATGTTAATATAAAAAGTATTGAATGGTTAAAATTTCTGAAAAAAATTATCCTAAGCTGCATGGCCACATTTAAGTGATCAGTGAAGAAAGACTTGGTGTCAGTCGCATTAAAACTATGCTACTTTTTGATTTAAACTTTCTTTTTTCCCCCATTTTTCTTAAATTACATATATTTAAAGAAATATGTGTTGTTTTGGTATACTTTGATTATAATTGTTGGAAATGATAACTATTATTTTATATAATTTCATTTATTCTTGATAATATATTCTATATAATACACAAATGCAGTAACACATTTTGAGTATTTGATATCCTCCGTTTATTGTTGGTCTAAATCTGGACAACCCATTGATGTAAAAAGTTAGTGCGGTAACCGATTTTCATTTACTAACGATTATATTTGTAATAATAAATGTTATATCTTCTATGATATTGACAAATGTGCTGATGTTCCTTAAATCATATTTTTTACCATTACATGTTTAAATGTTGAATACTTCTTAGCTGGTGTCGGGGGTGTGGGCGATAACTTGCACTTTTTATTACCGTCCATCAACAAGCTCAATAAGACCGAGCTTGGAATATTTATTTTTTTCATTTGCCGGTTTTGACTTTTTTTAGCGATACTATTATTCTCTATTCTGATCACAAATTTTTCAAATCTTTTAGTCTCAACATAACAACAAAGTAACTTAAAGATTTAGTTTCCAAGCACCTTATATAGCCATTGTTTTTTTTTAATGTGTCTGGCTGTCCGCAACTTATGTTAACTTCCCACATACAATCGTCGAAATGTATCACCTAAGGCACAAAATACAGGCAGATAAAAAGAAGATAAACGGTTATATTCTTAATACGTAATGAACAGTTTATGTCAAAGCCATTGAACAAAATGTTCACATAATCTATGATTTTTCAGTAACAACTTAGCTTAACTAAATATACATTTTATATCATATATAAATGGTTCACTAATAATAAGCTCGAATAGAAATTCACTTATTTTATTCCCTCACCAATAACATTGTCTGTATATTAATTGATTTTTGAACTTGCTATAATAAAGATTTAATTTGTCTTATCATATGCGCAAGATTAAGAAAAATGCTTGTTTTTGTGGCTGTGGATATACAGTGAATGCTAATCCGGATTATTCTAATCCGGAATCCGTTCTTATCCGAACGAAGTGTCCGGTCCCGATTTTTTTTTGTTCTTTAACCAACATAACTTTCACTCCATACATTGTTTTAATTAATACTTTTTTGTTTTAAATTTTCACATTAACTTGTCAATTAAGAAATACTTGTAAAATCAATAAGTATTTAACATATTTCTTCTGTGCCAGTCATACCATTGAACTTGTGACAATTTCACATTTAATTTTCTCTTTTTTCTAAGCAATAAAAGAAAAACATCCTTAAAGTGACATTATGCTCATATTTTCATCGCCAAGTTGAACTAAATTGACAACATATTTCAAAAGATTGAGTGTTATCATGGTGATTGAGATAATTTTTTGGGGGCCATGTGTGTGATTTATCGTTGATGCGAAGTAAATTATAAAATTGAAAGGAATTCTGACAAAATGTTAACTTGTTCTGACTATTACCTCTTTACTCACTATATACCTTTGTTTGGGCATAATGTCACTTGAAGGAAATAATACAAATTTTGTGACTTTACAATTTCACATTATATTTGACATTGAATTTAGGTTCCTATTTCAGCAATTAAAGACAAAACATCACATAAGTAACACATTTACATAATTTAATAGCATACAATTGTATGTTTACAATCTTTAAAATGTTTTGAATGTTAACAAGGCTATCAATATAAATTATAACGTTCAGTTTCAGTGGGCATTTCTTACTACTGCGACAATAAAAGCAAAGAAAGTACACCAAACGTTCATTTTCTTGTGATTTCAAATATACCGTGCATATGTTAAGATTTTCTTATCCACGTCATTACTCACTCGGGTAATTTAATTTCGTCGATTGTGTTTAAAACAAGCTAAGAACATTTTAAACATCTCTCGAGTGCGCTTTCTGAGACCAACCATTATATTGTCATATTTTAAACCATGGTTGAAACACAAAACTTATAGTATAAACTTGTCAAAAAATTTGTGTGTTGGAGAGCTTGATAAAAATTATACGGCTCTTTCCTTCCATCACAACGGACACAGCCAACAAATGCCTTTACTTCCAAAAAGTGCTAAGGAATGAAAACAATTTAAACAATAATAAAGCAAAGAGAGTATTATAATACATATGGCTCCTACCATGAATGTCTACATTTACAACATATGTATTAAAATAAACCTTTGAAATCTAAGTATTTGTGCATAATATTTATCAATATTCTGAATGTATTGTAAATTCCTTTAAGACAAAAAAAAAAAACAACTGGAAAATGAAATACTAGTAATCGTATGAAGTGATGCACGCGAAACAGTTCTTTATTTGGTTTGATCATGTGCGTCTGTCCAACACTATTTCCCTATAGAATATATAGAATACTTGCACTTCAGCTCCCGCACCGTGCATTATACGAAAATTATACGGGATTGTCATTTTGTCGAATGTGCTGGCATTATAGGAATGCTCGGGAATAAATCATATGACTTCTTTAAACCATTCGAGATTGAACACTTCTATCTATATAAACCACAAACAAGATAAGATAACTGTGCTTGAAACCTCAGTCTTAATATTCAGCTGAAATATATATATTTATATTTTGTTTTGTTCGAAATCAATGTTGAGAGTTATTAAGTTTTTTGTAAAGGTATATTGTCCTTTTTTTATTATTTTATGATTTTTGAAGTACAAAATGTATGTGCATTGACGGCATTTAGAATTTAATGCATTTCGAATGCGTTAAAAAGTTTTATTAACAATACCATCTCAGAGAAATGACATCTAAGAAACAATCAGCAAACGTTTTAATGTAAAGTTTTGTTTTACTAAAAAGCATCAATGAATGGCATATTTACAGCATACGAAAATCATACTTTTGTACGATTTGAAGACATATCGACACTGTAAAGGTATTTCGGTGACATTTTAACCGTACTGGTGAAGGAAGACATCCATGGGTTCACCATCGTGCATTATTTCAGGCACACGTGGGCACCTGCATAGAGCCACTGAGGCGAATAGCAACTTTACATGAGAAATCAAAAGTCTCTTTCGGGATTCAGATATGTCAGACACACAGCGGTATGGGTAAAGTAGTTCAAAAACAACAATCTGAACCGCCCAGTCCCCTCTACGTTCAAATTAAGTATGACATTGCTCTTTTGATCTGAGTTTTAAAGCTAAGCTATGCGTGTGATAAATTGGCTTCATTTGCACATATCTATGCATAAATATACAAAAATAACTCATCCACGAATAGCATAGCTATTGGTTAGACACAAATCCTTACACAATTCACATTAAAATTTGATTAAAGTGCATGGCACGCCGTCACAAAAACATGAATCTAGGATAGACAGACTTGTTGATCGATGCAAGTCTACGAGCAATTTTGATCAATTTTCAACAAGGAAAGGCGGCATTCAACGAACGCAGCTCCCAACAAACATGGTTCTTGCATGCAGAAAGACAGTCAAATATTCCAACATTTACAATTACCTATTGTTTCCATAGTCACAGAAAAGTGTAATAAACCAAAACGGTTGGATAAGCTGACGTGCAGGCACATAAAGTGTATCAGCCTTACTGGTTAGGGGGGAGGGGGCATATTAAGAAAACAACAAAACTTTTTCGTCATTTTATTCTAGAGTAATCTTGACAAACGGAATTAGCTTGTTTATATATATTTCTTTATGTAAATAAACTTCAAATAAGCATGTAATTTGTTGGAAAGTACATCTCTCAAACAACAACAAAAAAATTATCATTGGTTATTTTTCAAAATGATCGTTTCCTATCTTTGCAAAACTCAGATTTGTTACTCGTACAATCAGTTATAATTTAATCATAAAAAACAATTATCCAGAAAATTACAGAAAATAAAGATACAATTTTACACACTGGAGCAATTGATTAATGAAAACGACTTAATGAAAGGAAGTACGAGGGCGAATATTTCTATAATTTCTATTTTGACGTCCGATCTTCACGAAACTTCAGATGCATAAATATATATACACATTTTGAATGGGTTTTGATAACTTCAGTAAAATTGTTAAAAAATAAGCATTTATATAGTTTTAAATTACGCGAATTTCTATACCCTGGAGCACGAGAAATGAAATCAGTAAACCTCTCAAACAAATTGTAACATTTCATTTACAAGTGGTGCAAAGTCTTCGAAATTTTGACGTTCGTTCAAGCGAAGTCATTTTTTATCGAACATGTAGTTTTTGACGTCATGTCCGGTACGAACATTACACACGGTAGCGAAAACAAAAACGTTTCTTTTAGCATCAACGTCATGATTGGGATACCGCCGTAAACCGAAACTAGACCATCAATTAACTTTTGTGTCTTCAGCAGCCGAAACCATTGGAAAGCAGGAACAACACCTCCTATGCAGAAATCCGCTGTTTACAAATGACACAAACTGTTAAGGAGAAGCCGCGAGAGCATAGACGATGACACCCAAAATGGAAGACCGTCCTTAATCACGTCGACGTTAGTGGCGTTAGTGAGGCGTTTTATTGAAGATGATCGCCGCTGCTCCATGTAAGAGATTTCAGACCATGTTTGTGTTTAGTACGGAACTGTACAATCAATTTTACATGAAAAGCTAGGTATGCAGGTTCTATGTGTATCGAAAGAAGCAGAGATGCAAAAGCGGATTGAACTTTTTAAGTTGTTCCTGGGAAAAGTAAAACGCGAGGGGAACACATTCTTGGATCGAGTTATCACGTGCGACGAAACGTGGTTGTGGCTCTATGAGCCGGCAAGCAACAACAGAGCTCTCAGTGGACAGAGAAAGACTCTCCAACAACGAAGACACGATCCAACAAAAGTGGGGGAAAATACATGTTTATCATGTTTTGTGACAAAAAAGGAATGATGTTGTGCCACGCCGAAACGCCACATTCTACTGTTAATTCAGAATTAACTACTCCAGTTAATGTTATTTTTATTTTAAAGATATGTAAATGCATACATTTATTACGTTTACCAGTCAGGGTTTAGATAATAATGAATTTTATACCGGGATTTGTATATTTGTTGCCATATCAAAAGCTTTTTATTGTATATTGGTAATATCTGGCATCTGTTTGTTCATTGTATATTTTTCATTGTCATGGTACTTGCTTAGGTTAAAATTGCATTGAACTTATTACTTATAACAGTGCTAACAGTTGCATTAAAAAGATCTGGAAAAAAGATCATGTTTGCACATTTCTTTGACAAAAAGTGTTCTTTTTGTAACACATTTTACTTTGTCTGTTTTATATCAGATAAAGAAAATGGTAACCTCAGCGAACCCCCCCCCCCCCCCGGCAAAAGTGTACAATGACAACGTTAAAAGCTCGGTCACGCCAAAAAGCTTGGGCTAGAATCTAGAATGCGTGTAACAGATTTTACACTAGAATCATTCGAGGGGTGGGTTAAGCAGATGTCATCTTTTATATAACGGACTGCATATCTTTTTTTTTTTAAATATCAAATGTAAAATGGCCAATACGTGATAAGTTAAATGCCGTTAGTGTCAAGCATGTGTTTATATTGATACAATACTAACTACAGACAACTCTTGGTTTATATTCGGTATTCCTTAGTTATTTACGTTGTTCATAATCATATTAAACTATTTGAGTGCGTATTCATTAGAGTCAGCCATAACGTTCATTTCAGTATGTGTTGCAAAGAGTTTTTTACGTTACATGTTTGCATCCCTTGTTATTTCCTCTGTATATATTATAATATGTCTCACTGTCTCGGTAGGTATTCAACTAATCCCTCTCGTCCATTGATACTCTGCCCTAATTATAAGAATCTAAATAAGCCCCTACTCCTTCTCATTTGTTTTCCCCTTCCCGTTTGGTGTCCTTTCGTTTGGCGTTACTTCAGGTTATAGTAGGGACTGCGTTTTGAAAATATCTCTTGTTGGTCTTTAGCCTCATGTAACATAAGATTATGATATTAGAGACGTGGAAATATAAATCAAATAACATTTTGATAATTATGTAAATAATATAACTTCTACGTGTTAATGAGGAGTAAACAAATTGAATTTACATATCACAGTGTATACGAATATTTTTTCTACATGCTAAAACATATAATAGTACGACTGAAACATGTCTTCTCCTGAATATAATCTAATACCTTTTAAATAAATTTATCTTTCATCATATATTTAACTAAGTACCCTAGTTATATTAAAAAAATACTTCAGCTTCTGTCATTTTAAATTCTCCTTTCAGCAATGACTTTGTAGGGCTTACAACCCAGAAGTAAAACTGACCCAACAGGGGTGATGTCTGCACATAACCCCGACTGCATTTTCCATTTATAGCGCTGCATTAAACTCGCGAAGATTAAATGAAGCTCTGGTTTGGCTACAAACTCTCCGAGACATACTCGTGTCCCTGCCGAAAATGGCAGCCAGTTCTTTGGCTTAGGTCCTAGCTTTCCATCTTCCCCTAAATATCGTTCTGGAATAAATCGATCAACGTCATCCCAGGCGCTTGGGTCATGGTGAAGCGCCCAGTGATTGATAGCTATGTTTGTACCTTTTTGAATTCGGTAGCCGGCTGAATAAATAGATATATACATAAATACATAAATGCATAATTATAATATAATATTGAACCAGTAACAGATACAATAATATGTACATGTATAAACTTCTTTGTTGCGATAAATGAAATCTGCATGCATTACACTCCGTAATAAGCATTCAATTAGTTTGATATGTAATAAAAAATACGAAGAACTGATGTTATGCACTTATTATTTTTCACATAGGACGTTGCCCTTTTAATTTAACCAAATAACCCCATTTCCTGAATTATTAAATAAATATCTGAAAATACAAGTAAGTACAGTAGAAATTTAAACGGAAATTTTAGGGGGAGGGGGGTGTAATTGAGTCCAGTAAGCAGCGAAAAGAAGCTTATATAATAATTTGAACCATTCTAAAGCAAATGGCCCGCACAAAATTAAAGTATGAAAATGAACAAAGGGCAATAACTCAAACAATTATAAATGCAGAGTATCTGTTCTTGTGCACTGCATTTCTTTATTAGACCTATCATCCTATGAAGTTTCAAGTCCATGGCTTTTATACATAAGGAGAAATGGCCCGGACAAAAATAAAGTATGAAAATTAACAAAGGGCAATAACTCAAAAATTAGGAAGTGTAGAGTACCGGTTCTTGTGCACCCCACTTCTTCTTAATGAGATCTATCATCCTATGAAGTTTCAAGTTCATAGCTTTTTTAGTTGAAGAGAAATGGCTCGGACAAAATTAAAGTATGAAAATTAACAAAGGGCAATAACTCAAAAAATAAGAACTGCAAAGTACCGGTCCTTGTGCACTGCACTTCGTTTTATTGAAAGAAGTATTTATACCAAGTTTGAAGTCAATCAGACTTATAGTGACTGAGTTATGCTCCGGACATGCTTTTGGGGACGCCGACGACGAAGCCGACAACGACGCTGACAACGACACAGACGCCGACGCCGCCGACAAAAGTAACCCATATATGTCACCTTTTCAAGGCTACACAAAAACTAGCTCACCGCCAAGAGTGGTTTGTGTCCTTATATATGGGAAACAGTCCCTTATATTAATTCGCCAACTTAGTTATTGCACAATAAAAACATTATGTATGTAACGTTTGAAGGCACACAAACGGTCGGTGAAATCATGTTGGTGAAAGGCATTTGCTCGACAAGTGTGGTTCGTGTCTTTATTTATGGAAAACATTCCCTTATGATAATTCATCAACTTAAGTTTTGTGCATATTATCATGCTCATTATCAGTATCATAAGCTTTATCAATGTCGTAACATGTATATTTACACACCAACTACAATATTATTTTAAAAAGAAAGTACTATTTTTGGCGTCCGCGCCGAAGTGCGGCGCCCCTTTATGAAATGAAATCAGATTTTGTGCAAGGGCGACAGCAACTTCTCGAGCCTTTTAGTCGGTAATAATAAAAGCCGATCATTCCGATCGGTATGAGGGTGCTTGATTATTATTAATTAAAAATGAAATGTCGCGATGTGTACAATGAATAGCGAACTGGAGAATTTCGCAATGCAAAGATTTTCAAATGAAATAACCTTTTCCGTCCCTTCAATTATTTTTATTTATCATTTTGTAATACATAGAATGATAAGTTGATGACCTTAATGTCTACTGTCTACCTAAACATTCCGAAAATCTATTTATAGAAGGATGCACTCCTATCGTTAATTCCCGGTCTCTCCCGGTCTATTTTGACCGGTATTTACCAGTGACCGGCGAATAGAATCAACGTTTATTGTCCTGTCTCTCCCGGTTTTGGAGTAGATGTTTGATATCGTTTCAGAAAGTAAAAACTTTTTACAGATAAATAAGCTCTTTTGCAAAATAAATGTTTGTCACTTAGTTTGTAACTCTTTATGAGATAAAAGCAATAAATATGTACAATAACTGAGAAAAAAGGTACATTTTATGGTATTAATATGACACTATCAACTTTGAAACATTTTATTTAATTTGTTATTCGTGTTTAGTAAAGATGCCGAGGAATTTTTCAAAGTTACAAATTAGATTTTATGAATTTTACAATTGATTGATATTTTAAAAAATGATAAAGAAAAATGCAAATACACATGTACATGGTTGAAGAATAAACAATATTATATATTGAAAGATTAACCATAATTTACTGACCTTTTCCAGTTAAGTTTTGACTTATAATCGTCGGTCAATATGACAATTGAATTCTTAAAATTTTTATTTTACAATTTTAATAAAAAAAAAAGAGTAGTAAACGTAAAAAACTCAGTATTAAAATAGCACATAAAACACAAAAAAAGAGAGGAAAACAATATTCATAAAATCTGTATTTTTTATAATAAAATAGTTATTACAATTATTGTATAAAAAACAACATGCTCAACATGATCAACATGGTAATATAACCAGTGTCATATTTTTACTAAGTGTGAACAGATACCTTAAGAGGGGGTCTTTGCTCATAGCGATAACATAATAAGGGGCACTTTCTGCATTTCATGCTTGGACGCCCTTTGATGCTTTGCATCAATGCTTTTCTTGTATAAGTATATAATGATTGTGATAAAAGACATCTGCAGATAGGAAATTTACGTTCGCTATAATTGTCACTTTATAAAATGAAGTGTTTTTGTAATGTTTATTTCATATTCAAAAGTGTTTATTTTTACAATTGTTACAGGGCTGTGTGTAAGTTGTAATATTTTAGGCTAATAATTGTCATGAAAAGCCTAATAATAAGAAGAATACACTGACAAACAAAATACCTTTTACATTTCAGCTACACATTTTTAAATAGATAAATACAGAATCCGTAAAGATATCCCAACACGGCAAAATTGAAAATGTTTCAGGCTCGGTTTGATTTAGCCTGTTCATGGACGGTACTGGAAAGTGCAAGTTACCGTCCACGCCCCCTATCACCAGCTTAAGCAGAATTCAACATTTAAACATGAAATAGTATTTTTTTTTTTTGAATTTAGAAACATCCGCAGGTGTTTGAACCATTTTGGCAAAGGTCAAAAAAGGAAAATATTCAACGTTTCATAAGGTAATCGGTTGCTTTTAAAAAGGTAGTTATAAAGATAAGCTACAATGCAGGGTAGACTTTTCGAAATTTTTGTTCCAAGCGTATTTAACTGAGAACATTGTACACCATACTTACATAATTCTGTATCACAAGACGCTTGGTGGAAAATTCCTAATGGGGAGACGCTTGCAAGACGCATACTTTCGTGTAACACAGCTTCCGTATAACCAAGATTTGGGCGGTCGTCAACTCCTGGTAATCTTTCCCTCCCTGAAGAAGCAACCTTATATATAATAAGTGATAGCTTTATTCTTAAGCACAAATTATACAGTTGTTATAATAATGAGAATATATTTCTGACGTGCTTAACGAAAACTAGTTTGTTTTTATTTATTTAAATAAAGGTAGATTTAAACACTGATTGGCGAAGGCAGTCTGGAGCTCAAACTTTTCAAACAGGACAAAATACAATATTTTAATGATTAATTGTTTCATATCAAATTCGCGTAATGCGCCGTTGAGTTGAAATTGTTCAATTAATCATTTTTGCAGATTGCTTTGGTCGACAAATGTATTTCACTAACCAACAGCATTATCTATTTCTTCTTGAACCTTTTCTTGTATATCCGGAAATGCCACCATGTGCAACAGGGCAAACCTGAGTGTATATCGGGATGTGTCTATGCCAGCTAAATAACAAAATGAAATCAAATAGATCTATAAAGCAAGACATTTTGTAAATGCAAGAAGTATTTGGAGGCAAAAGATTTATACCGGAGTAATATGTTGTATAATACGTTTGAATTTTTATGCTGATGTCTACAAATAACAAACAAAATTGTTAAATGTATGTAAATTTATTCACATGATAGTGAAATGAATTAATAAAATATGCTTTTTTGCTATCTAAAAGCTTTACTTTCAGTTTAAAATTGGTGCAGTTTATTTTTTGTTTAATTTTACGCCTTTTCCCAAATTTGGAGCAGCTTTCTTGAACAATGTACATAACAAGTAAGGCATATGTGTCATGGGCCGGTGGTCTTTTTATACAAAATTAAATGATGGCCTTGCTTTTGATATAAATTTATAAGGGCTACTGTTCAAAACGATCAGTTAAGATAGCCCCACAATCGTCCTTTTCCTACATATTTTTCTTGATTTCATATAAACTAATCAAAGTACGTTTTAAAAATATAAATGATATGTTTAAGTCATCTCTTTTAAGTAGCACCTTACTTCATTTTTTAATTAAAAGTAAACAAAAAACGGTGTTGTCAACGATGATTACCAAAGAATATATCAGTTAGCGTTTGGACAAGGTGATCTTCTTCTAGTCCTAAGAGAGCGTCTTTTCCCTCCTCCTGTTCCGCCTCCATGCGAGCAAGAATCAAATTGTCCGAAAAATGTCGCATGTTATCTATGAAAAAAAATTTTTTCTTAATATCAAAGGCATAAGAAATTCATTTGTTTCGTCTTAAGAAATAACAAGCATACGTTAAAGTATGTTTAAATAATGGATTATGAGCATACTGTATACTTTAATATATGCAACTTGGAAAACATGGAACAATGTGTCCTAAAGGTAGCAACATTTAAACAAAGAAGTACTTGTATTTTGACTTCCATACAAAATTCTTATCCCTGTAATTGCATACTAAGTATATTTGACTCAACCTTCTCCCTTAAATGCACCTAACTTTGTGTAATTTGACTTTGCCTCCATGTTTATATGCTTAAACATCTTTACATGTTGACTCCACCTTCTTTTCTAACTTCACTTACCTTTATTAAAAGTTGACTCCGCCTCCTTGTATTTTCTTCTGATAAACCCCTCGATCACATCAATCGTAAACATTTCCATCTCCTTGAAGCCCTCGGACTTATACACATATTTCAATCCTGGAACAAAATCCTCCAAGATGCCTTTTGCAAATTTGTCGTTAATTTCGTCTTTGGCTTTCAGAATATAATTCACTTCTTTATCTTGGAAATCATATCTAGAAAGAACAGAACTGATTGTACCAACATACATATCATTTAAACGGGAATATTTCCCTACTTTTTAACTCTGGTAGTCAGACATAATTGGTAGTTATTATTAAAGAATATACAGAAATTAAAGGCTTATTTCAGCATAAAAAAATAACATGAACTGTATTTTTTATCTGTTTGAATGGGAAGTCCGTGGCTGAGTGGATAAATCGTTTAAAATCGAAGCCACTACACCTTCACCGCTGTGGGTTCGACATTTGGACTCCTTTGTTGAAGGACTCGGACTTAAACCACACTTATCAGAAATAGTTCAGACAAAGTCTCAACAGTTCTCATGCGCGGACACAGAAGCTGGGGGCTAGGGCAGCATACCCCAATCCCTGCCTTCGGATTTCGATTATATGTCGCACCCCTGTGAAATTTCAACATTAGCTTTCATATTGAAATAAACATCACCAAAAAAAAACAAGAGCGCCTAGGCGGAGCATTAAACACCCGAAAGTGTTTTTATAGAAGGGATGAATCATTTGTGAGATATATATGAGATAAAGTATTTTCTCCTTTAAAAAGCAATCCTCCTATAAAGTTTGAATATTGTGGGCCGAATGGAACTTAAGTTATGCACTGGAAACTGTTTTCAGCTTTGAGGTTATACAAATAGCAACCTTTAACTTTGACCATGTGACCCCAAAATCAAAAGGGGTGTTCTACCCAATATTGATAATCATCCTATGAAGTTTGAACACTGTGGGCCATACGAACCTGAAGTCATTCTCCGGAAACTGTTTTCAGTTTTAAGGTGACAGTGACCTTGACCTTTGATCTTGTGACCCATAAATCAATAGGGGTATTCTACACAATCTGGACAATCATCCTATTAAGTTTAAAATTGTTGGCCTAATAGAGCTTAAGTTATGTTCCGGAAACTGTTGAATAAGTTTTAAAGTAAAAGTGACCTTGATCTTTGACCTTGTGACCCCACAATCAATATTGGTCTCCTACCCAAAATGTACAATAATCCTATGAAGTTTGAATCTATGGGCCAAACGGATCTAAAGTAATGCTCCAAAAACTGTTCTAAGTTTTAAAGTGATAATGAACTTGACCTTTGAGCCTTTGACCCCAAAATCAATAGGGGCTGGCAATTATCCTATGAAGTTTGAATATTGTGGACCTGGTGGAACTTAAGTTATGCTCCGGAAACCAAATTGCTAACGGACGGACAGACAGACGGACGGATGAATGCCAGGAGGTATAGCATAATACGCATAAAATTCTTTCGGGCATATGAACATGATTTGATTCTCACACTTTTTAAAGAAACTAGAACCATGACATTGGACACTTTTATAATATGTATTTCCCTTAGCCAAAAAATTAACGACGCCCGCTAATCCTCCAACTATTGAAATACTCTTAGATCTCCCGACTGAATAAATAACGAAAAACATATTAGCATTTTAACACTACTTACTTTCCACCAAAGCAAAGACTTGTCAGTATGTTAGTAACAATAAAGTTTATGTACTGCTCTGGATCAAATTGGCCGGAAATTTTGTCCATTTCAACAAACGCCGTTTCTACTGCATCAAATATTCTGTGCTCTAAAGCATCTCCTTGCAAATATTGCCTGTAAAGAATGAGACACGATGATGCACGAAAAAACATGCAATTGCTCGGGTAAAAGCCAACTTTTATAACTCAAATTGTTTGTTATAATATTCAAAACGTTTGGCGATTCGCCGCAAGGGTTGTGAAGTTTAAATTGGGGTCTATATGCGCAATTTATGGAATCTGCCAAATCTAAGGTTCCATTATCTTCACAATCTTGAACAATTCAAGTATATTTACCGTACACTTTTAATGGTATAAAGCTATAGTTTAAGAAACATTTTCATTAGATTTATCTATAGTAAGATTTCATTTGTGGCATAAGCTAAAAGTGGTTGTAAAAAAGATTCCTAAGTCTGTTATTTTACACGCATTGATATTGTAGGTAGACGGAATAATTTGTCCAGGAAAAGGTTAATATATTCATTCATTTAAATTTGACATATTCAGGCAGAATGTACTAGATTTCAATAAATTCCTGCCAATTATTTCACCCAAAAATGAGCATAGTATATCTGAACACACTATCTGTTGCTACTGAAATGAAATTTTATTCATAATACAGTTTCACATACATTCTATTGTTGATTGCCAATAAGACTGATACATTCGTGTTGAATGCGATCTTGTGATCGATTGTCCACCATCGACACAATAGAGGTCATACGGCAAATTTTCTGCTTTACTGACCAAAGTAGACGCCAGATTCCCCTCAATCATAAAATTATGATTTATCAGAGAATGTAAAGCTTCTGAACCTATTTTAAGGTACCCACTTTATGACGTATTTCGGCAAATTCCGGACTAGCGTCTGGTTGATTAATTGCTAATTATTTCGCATTTTCATCAATTGAAATGCACTTTAAGACTACTAATTCATCGCCTAAAAAAGGTTTAAATGAGGCTGTGCATAAAAATGTAAAATCACCGAAAAAACACAATTTGTACTTTCTGTCAAGTTTTTAGAGGTACTGCCTCAATACCGCAGTGAGTTAATAAATGATAATAATTTACCGTAAGGCCTTTGACGCAATTTTACGATGAAGTTTCCATATAAGTCCATAGTTGCTGAAAGCAATATCCTTTCCACCATACGTTAACATTTCAACTGTAAAAATATCATAACATATGCGTTTTCATTGAAAAAAAATGAACATACGTATAAATAATCTTTTTAAAGTTATATCGTGTCTCAAAAATACAAAATTAAGTTTTCTCGTTCTTTGAAAAGAGTAAACATCAGTTTTATAACGTTTAATTATTTTAATCATTTGGTTTAGTGCATGTTACATACATTTTAACTGAGATAGATAGCTCTGATCACTCATGGATCAGTTATCTGCATTTATCAATAAAGTAGCAAAGACACAATTAAACTCTATAATAATATCTTCTTAGAACTTTTGCTTTACAATGACGCATGTTCTGAAGTTGGGATCGTTTCGTTCTACTTTTCATTCTTCTTTTTTACTTATTATATATACATTTGGGGGGATGGGGCGTGGTTGATTGATTAATTGACTGATTACATATAATTTTTATTTTTTGTGTTACCTTATTCATTTGTTTATTCGATTGTTTAAGCCAAAAAGCACGAAACATAAGGAACTTCTATAGTGTAAAGGTTGTTTGTGTGGTTGTTTTCTTTTATTTTTACGCCGAATTTTACAAATATTCGGTCATATTTCAGTAGTCGATCAAACTTGACGTTTTACCCGTATTTCTCCTCAAGAAATAGACTATTAAACCCATATAATTTCTGAATCAGTAGTGAGAGTTCATTGACCATTAAATTCAATTCAATGTCCGTATGAATTGTCATGAGGGTGATACGGGGATAATACTTTCCTCCTGGTGCTATATTTGTTGAGCTTAACGAACGTAAAAAATGTGCTTGTTTAAATAGGGCTTTCGTCACACCGACACACGTCACACCGACAATGTATTCCAGCCAAGTCCTCATGTGTCATTGTGTTTCAGTCATGAATTGGCCGGAGTAAAAACACTGAAGTTCGATAGCTTCCTAACATGAAAGAATCCAAAGGCCCTGTTCGAGCCCACATTGGAGAGGGGATATTGGTTTCAAGTTCAAGCCTCAATGTACTTTTTATTCATGTTTGTCCCCTCACCGTGTCATGTGTGTACGTGGAATGGGAGAAATAAATGTTTTTGACTCGAAAACGAAATATATTTATAACTAGAAATGTGTCATCATGCCACGGATGCCCCCGCATGCAGCCAAAATTTCAGATGTTATAATTTTTAGTTCCAAATTTGTTTGCACAATTTTTTTTTTAATTTTAAGTTCAAAGCCCTTAAAACTTTTCAATGTTAACACAAACCATTTCCATACAATGTTCAAGGCACTGAACTTATTCAGTCTTTACTTTTTGAAAATAGCATATTTCATATTTGTAGCCAAAATGATGGCTACATACATTTCCACAAAAGTATGACTGCTGAAACTGAAAGTTCAAAATTTTTCCAAAATACAGGAAAGGTAAGTTTGTTCAAAATCAATGAACCACGACCAAATTCAAACTTAAACTGCTTATTCCTTAGATGTATCTATATTATTTTCAAAGTGAAAGGGACATAACTGCCAAAAAATCATTGAACCTTGACCAAATTTCAACTTGACCTACCCATTCCTTTGACATATCCATATGTCAAATTTGAGTTGAATATGTAACACTGTTGGGTAGATAATGTATTGATCGGAAACTGTAAATTTCATATTATTTTTAAAGTGAAAGGGGATTTACTCTGCCAAAAATCATTGAACCATGACCAAATTCGAACTTGGCCCGGGCATTCCAAAAACATATCCATATGTCAAGTTTGAGTTGAATGTGTTGTACTGTTGAGGAGATAATGAACGGAAACTGAAAAGTTCATATTATTTTAAAGTAAAAGGTGCATAACTCTGCTAATTCGAACTTGACCTGTATTTTCTCATGACATATCCATATGTCAAATTTGAGTTGAATGTGTGCAACGGTTACTAAGATAATGAACGGAAACTGATGATGACGGAATGACAGAATGACGGAATGACGGAAGGACGGAACAGGGTAACACTATATGCCCCGGCCATTACATGGCGGGGGCATAAAAATATATCATATATACTTACTAGACGGAGTTATCATTCTGGAAGCGAAGTCTGTTGATTTTTTAACCAAAACCTCCAGGGCTGTATCTATTGTGTTGACAAATACAAACGGCATTGGACCTTCAATTACGATATATTATATTATATGATTATCACATCATGGAATAGCATTTTGTAAAATGCAAACTTAGACATTAACATGTTAGTAAAACATTTTCAATTAAAACCAACATTGTATAAAATAAATTATCAAATTATACATGTAATCACTGAACACACTAGCCCTATATGAAACAAGACTTTCCCGCGGACATGTGACACGCTCCTTTTTTCTTAGTGCTGGAAAGTTGAAAGAGGCAACATAGAAAAGGAATAAAACATTGCAAACGTACTCAGCCGACAAACCTGCTCTGAAAATTCAACAAATATTTTAAGTCAAAAATGAATATCATTAACGTGTTTTTGAGTAAAAAGGCAAATATTCCAAGTAAAATAAGAAAGACAAAAAGGACATATCAATGACTTTTTGGATTATCTACCCTTCTGAAAATGATGTCATTATTCAAAATTTAACATATTTATCCATTATAAAGTGAACAGTTCAGATGTTTCCCTAAAAAGGGATCTAGGTAAAAAGGTGAGCAAGGGCTTACAATCTAAGTTGAAATAACTTTGCATAAAAACAAGTTTTAGGATTATCTGCCCATTTGAAACGGCGTCCTTTAATGACAATAAACATACAGTTTGAAGTACAACCTTTATACTGTCTGAGAAAATGAACATTAACAAAAACGTTTACCTACGGCGACAAGAGGGTCATGCCAATAAATCAACTTTTTTTTCGTTTTAAAGTGGAGCTTATAAATGTCTTAGGATACTTGCAAAATATATATGAAACAAGATCTGGCCATGGATTGTTGAGTCCACATGTCTCCGTCACTGTACTGGGTATTTATTGAAAAAAAGCAAAAAAAAACAAAAAACAAGCGGGGATACTTGTGCGCAGGTTACTTTGCAACTTAAAGGTACTTGCCCTTTATAGTAACGAATATTGCACGATATATCGGTGCGATACCGCTTATAGTTTCAGACACGAACGAACACCTGGGTAGAATCACCGACGTTCAGTAAGCTAGCTGGAGAGCTACCTCACATGAAAGAACTCCCTGTCTGGATTCCAACCTACAGTGGTGAGTGTTTAACTAACCTAATCTGATTGAAACGACTGGACCATATGTCTTCGACCACTCAAATGCTTGTTCATGTAATATCTTCATGTCAACTTCTACAGATATAAAATTATATGATAATAATTGGTTAATAAATGGCAGAGTTCTATATATAGGAATAAGGTTATTGATACATTAATCACCTTGATTAAAGCTGCACGCGAGACAAAATATTTTAAGAAAATTAAACTTGAGAAAAATTCACTAAGATTGCATATTTCACATGTTATATGTGGTTTTGCTTTATCATCGCATTTTTACTGGGTGACTAACACAGTCAGGGCTGTTTTTACACACAGTGTAGTTTGACCCCAGTTATAAGTGTCAATTACAATGTGTAAATTACTTTCTTTGTTTACTACACAATATTTTTTAAAAATAAATTTCATAATTATCTTAAAAAAGAGAGCTATTGTTTTAATTACGCCGTTGAAATATTCTATCACTTTTATTCACGTGACTATTTAACTTGTGGTAATCTAAGTAGGAGTTTTTGTACTGTATTGCGTTTAATTTTACGAGGAAACAAACTGCAACTCCCCCTTAAAATAAATAAATGAATTATGTGTTGATTACTCTATAGAATGCGCCCTTATTTCACTTTTTTACACATAAAATGATTCAAATGTTATGGTTAGATAGAACTTACACCAAGCAAATCACATGACACCGTGTTATATATAGTGGGTACTTACGCATCATGTTTCCAATGAGGGGAAAAGCAGTAGGGCCGGACGGGTATTTGTACTTCCATTTCAGTATCAACCAATACACAACAAGTCCCGTTAATATAGCAACGAGGAATGTCATCCCTATAGATCCCGACAACAAGAATTCTTGAATCATGCTCACACGTTAATTAATCGATAAAACTACAACTAAAAAAAACATTATTATCATATGTATCAAAACAATACAAAAGAAATTATATTTAAATTGTTTAAAGATCCTATAACTCAGTCTTCTTACTGTTTTATATCATAAATATAATGCTCAAAAGAAGATTTTTCAGTATTACGAATTCACATTTCATTTAAATAAAGGGATGTAAATAAATTTATTTTCAATAAAGTCTTAAGCCATTTTTAATTAGAAATCAATACACATATTTCAACGATTACAAATACTGCGTATAAACATTTGCAGCACATATTTAACATGTCCTTGGATGTTTAGAAATTATTTTAGAAGAATAATTATATACATATATATTTTATTTAAGTGTTGATACATCCTTAATTACAACATATAGGATCTTCAATTGTCTTCTTGTCCTAATTTTTTTTTTTATTTTTTTTTTTTTATTTTTTTATTTTTTTTTTTTTTTTTTTTTTTTTTTGGGGGGGGGGGCTTACGTCACATCGACACAGTATAGGTCATTCGTGACGTTCCCGATTTACTGGTGAAGACAGTCCTCAGATGCCTTTCCGTGCATTATTTCAGGCACGAACGGGCAACTGAGTAGAACCACCGATGTTCCGTAAGCTTCTTCGCTAGCTTCCTCACATTAAAGAATCCAAAGTCCCTGTAGGGTTTCGAACCCACGGCGGTGAGGGGCAAGTGATTTGAAGTCAACAACCCTAACCACTCGGCCACGGACGCCACCCCCCCCCCCCCTAAATTTTAAATAAACCAAAAAAAAAAAGAAATAAAATTAACAGACATGCTTTGTAGAGTCAAATTGATGAGGAAGAAATCAATGTGAATAACAACGCATTAATTTACTTGTTACATTAATCTGTTTGAAGATTCAGTGTTTTTTTTAAATAATTCATCAAATATATTAGGATTTACCTGAAGGAATAAACCCACTCCGTATGAGATTTTTACAATCTATCCGCTATAACTCCACAAAGATAAATGTATATTAATTCATCTCCGTTGCAGATAAGTCAAAATGCACCACGATTAAATGTTTGCAAATAACATTTAAGTGTGCACACAATATTTTTATAAGTTTTTGCATATTTGCAGAGTAAATAAATATGGATCAATAGCTCTAGGGCTTACTTTGTAAACGTGTTTACCCACTTCAGCATTGCAGTTGTTATATAATACAAGGGTTTATATAGCTCTCCTTTGACGAAAAGGAATACTCTGTTGATAATAAAAAGCATACATGTAGTTTAAAAACTCTCTGAAAATATTTGATATAAAGATGGCTAAATTATTTTCTTCATTGCTATAAACTTTATTTGAAAACGGTTATAATCACATATCCGTACTGTTTTTGCGACTACGTATGGTATTGCAGCACCGTGCATATACTTTGACGTGACGTCATTTGCGTACAATCTCCTACGCAGTGATCTCCCCTTATCAATATAGAGATCTCTGCCATCACAAACATTTTTTTTCAAGATTTTATATCTTTTAGATTTTGAATTTATTTTTCATTAATTTGAATAATTTTTTGATACTAAAGAGCAAAATGACTTTAGATTTTCTATGTAACGATCGATATTTACATTCAAATTTCAACGTTACGTCATGTGACTTTCATCATCATTTGACGTATGTGAAGGCAGTGATTACAATTCTGCCAAGGGAGGTAATCACTGTGAGGAGTTTGGCATAAAGATAGTGTTAAGACGCGCAAAATGTTCGCGTTACACTGTAGGCGAATCAATGAAAAATGGTTCTTTTTTACATGACTGTTTACTTCAAACAGTCTTATAAATAATGTATTGAATTTGTGTTAGTTCATAACTGAAAAGATACCATCATAGTTATACTACAAAGATTTGTTTTTTTATCATCATTGTAACCTAGCGTCTTCAAAGGCGCACATAATGCTATGTCTTTGAAACGAATCCATTTTTCATTATTTTAAAAGAGCAAACAAGAGTTAAATAATATTCTAATAATGATTTTAGACCATCTTACATTGTCTTAGGTGCTAATTGCATTAAGATAGTAGCGCTGAATGTGTAATTACATGTACCAGTGTTTCTAAATAAAAGTAGCAAACAATGTATGATATTGATTTCCATTCAGAATATTGAATCACTTTTACTGTTCAAATTGTCAAAATGTAACAGAAGTAAAATATGGTTCAGGTAATTGGCCAGTAAGTTATTCTTTGGAAGCTATAAAATGGCACAAAAAAGAAGAAAAATTTGAGAGACATAGAAATAAATCTGCTTATGGGGTATAATGGTCCTTTAATACAAATGGGCAAAGCTTATATAGTAAAATGAAATATTTGTGAGTGAAAGCCAAGATAGAACAAATGCCTATAAGACAAACTTTATAAAATAGGAATAATCGTATGAAGTGATGCAGGAAATCATATAAGGTCTCTTAAAAAGACAGTTTTACATTATTTTTGATCACAAGCGTCTCTCCAGTAAATCGACTTTATTGAAGATTTCCATACAATCTCACGCACTGTGCAATTAATTGCAGAAAATAAAACGGTGTGTTATGGTGATGAATATGCTAGCTTTCAATGAATGATCCGTTAACCTACGGTATTATTTCAGAAATTATATATCCCAAAGAGTGATTTTATAACTCAATAACGTCACTGTTTGGAGTTCGAATGCGAGGGCGTAGTCCGAGTGATATAAAGATGCGCATCCGAACGACAAACAGTCGAGCGATAAAATCACCGATTTGTATATATCTAACACGAAGTAAATGCTGCCTTTCCTGATATTAAACAAAATTGCACCTGATTTTTTTCCGTACTATTTTTCAGCGCGTCTGATTCTTTTACGTCACATCTATAATTATTACTGTGACTATATTGCAAAATTACACACACTTTCGGTTCTATTACATGTTCTATATTCAAAAGTGAAAAATGCTGGTCGTGTTAGAATATCTTATAACGTCTATCCGACCATTTAATATGCAGTATTTTCAAAATAAAGTATAAGGGGTTGGGGGAGAATAATCATTTGTGTGGAGATAAGTATCCGCCAAAAGTATAATTATGTATCTTGATCACATGTTTATATCTGAATGTTTGTTGATTAAATTGTTATTAGATTTGCTCTCCTTCTAAATATTAATTATATTGATTTACATACAATAATTAACATTTCAAATGTATGTTTGCCATTATAAGGAATGGTAATGAATATTGTTGATACAGTAAATTTGTATCATTGCTATTGATATAAGTATTGTGCAAAATAAAAAGGTTATTGTGTAGAGGTAAATATTCAATACAAGCTTCATAATATAAGTGTCAAATTATAAGGCGCTTATGTTTTTATGACATATGCTAAGTGAAAACTTTTTTGTATATTTTGTAATTATTATATAATCTATAAATAACTTTGAAATGCCTTTCCCTGATAGGCTAACAAGCAACTTTTTGGAAAAAAATAACTGGTCAATATCAGAGTATATTCACAGTTTTTTGCCCTGAAAATAGATTTTCAGATTATATTCACCGGTTTTTCTTCTACAAATAGATTTTCTTGAAATCCCTAAAAGACGTGAGACTTTGACGTGACGTCATGCCAAGTTTGTTGTTATTATTCTGAAAAAATACCCGCTGAGTTGGGTGTACAAAAGAGTCAAATAAGTCTATTTCAATTAGTAAATACCCTTTTTATCATTTTAAGTACAATAGGGATTAGCATGGCAATGGCTAAATTTTGGAAACAGTAGACAGGCTGAAAAATAATGATTTCTGTCGTATGCAATGGCACATGTGATAAGCCATATAAAAGCTATAATTTATAAATAAACAGATATGTACTTTTTAGCTGTTGAATATGATGTGATACATTGTATGTACTAAAATAATAAATATTGACAGAGGCGATAGTCACACAAAATATGATAAACAAGATCGACAAGGAAAGGCGGCGTTCAATGAAAGGCGGCGTTAAACCATATGGAACATAAAACGGAATGAATAGCATCAAGAATTTACAGTTATATATGTTCAATATTTTCCCTATCTATTATCTACACAAACCCAAATCCAATGTAAAAGGCTTACTTGTGGGGTGATAAAAGGAATACAACAATACTTTCTCGTCATTTATTAGATAAATCTTGGCCAACGGACTTAGCTTGTTTTTATTCTATCCTCATAAATGAAAACATAAGAATTGTGAACCTTAATTTAAAGGGTAATTTATTTGAAACTCCATTTCTCATAGTAGTTATTATTGATATTTTTTTCTATATTATCTTTTTCCGTACTCTTGCAAAATTTAAGGGTTATTTCTTGTAGAATTCATTTTAATTTAATTACAAAAAATTAAATAATCATGCAATTACTAGATTTAAGATACAACATTATGAACAAATAAAAACATTGGAGCACTTGATGAATGATAACGACTTGATAAAAATCCATATGTCACGGTGATTTCTTAAATTAACATTGCAGTGCACTTGTAACAGTACATTACTTTTCTAACAGAACCATTAAGCATATCTGCGGAAAATATTATTTTTGAACATTTTTGTTTTTGACAAAAGTTTTCTTTTCTTGTAACACATTTTACCTTTTCAGTTTTAAAGCGTAATATCAAATAAGATAAAGAAAATGGATACTTCAACGAACGCCCCGAAACGGGAAAATTGTAAATGATAAAGGCTGGGCCACGCCCCATGCTCGGGCTTAAACAGTGTACTTCAAAGTAAGAGAATATATGTAAAAGACGTTACTCTATACTCATTTACGGGGCTAGGGGACTAGCATACAAAAGTTGTTTTTTTGTAGATAACGGGGCTGCACATCTCTTTTGAAATATCTTATATAAAACTGCCAACAAGTATCAAGTTAAAAACCTTTGGAGTTAGGATTGAGTTTATATTGATACAATACTAAAATCATGTGTAACATTTTAAAAATCAGACTATATATCATAGCAGTTAGGGCAGACAAATCTTGGTTTTTATTCGATATTCCTTGGAAATTTACATACTTTAATAGAAACTGTTCATGTGCGTATTCAATCTGTTACTTCATTAGATTGAGCCATCATGTTTTTTTCAGTATATGTTGCCAAGAGTATTCTGCGTTATGTGTTTGCGTCCCTCGTTATTTCCTTTGTATATATTATAATATGTCTCATTGACTCGCGGTAGGTATCTACCAATCCCTCTTATAATAATCTAATTAAGCCCCTCCTCCTCCTTCTCATTTGTTTTCCCCTCCCCGTTTGGCGTTTTTTCGTTTTCCATTGCTTTGGGGTATTGTAGGGACTGCGTTTCGAGAAAACCTCTTGTTGGTATTTAGCCTCGTGTTACATAAGATTATAATATAAGAGAAATTGAAATATAAATTAAATAACATTTTGATATTTATGTAAATAAAATAACTTCTACGTGTTAAAAAGGAGAATTTACATATAACAGTGTATATGAATATTCAAATAGTACAACTGAAACATGTCTTCTATTGAATATAATTTAATACCTTTTTATTATAATAATTATTTTTCATGATATATTCAACTAGTTACCCTATTTATATAAAAAAAAAAAACATTTTGCTCCTGTCAATTAAATTCTCTTTTCAGCAATGACTTTGTAGGGCTTACAACCCAGAAGAAAAGCTGACCCAACAGGGGTAATATCTGCACATAATCCCGATTCCATTTTCCATTTATAGCGCTGCATTAAACTCGCAAAGATTAAATGAAGCTCTGGTTTGGCTACAAATTCTCCGAGACATACTCGTGTTCCTGCCGAAAATGGCAACCAGTTCTTTGGCTTGGGACCAAGCTTTCCATCTTCCCCTAAATATCGTTCTGGAATAAATCGATCAACGTCATCCCAGGCGCTTGGGTCATGGTGAAGCGCCCAGTGATTGATGGCTATGTTTGTTCCTTTTGGAATTCGGTAGCCGGCTGAATAAATGGATACATGGATAATTAATATATTATAAGGAATCAGTAACAGATACAATATATTAATTGTATAAACATCTTTGCTGGGATAAGCAAAATGTGCATGCATTACACTCAATAATTAGCATTTAATTCGTTTGATATGTTATAAAAAGATATTTAAAACAGAACTGATGCTATGCACATATTATTTTTTTTTACATAGCAGACTGTCCTAATTAAGCCAAATAGCACCATTTCCTGAATTTTGAAATAAATTTGTGAAAGTACATGTAACTACCGTTGGAGTTTAAACGGAACTTTTGGGTAATCAAATCCAATAAACAACGGAAAGAAACTAATTTAATAATTTGAAACATGCTAAAGCAAATTTTGATACAGGTGATGTTTTGCCTCATGGATGCTGTTGTACAAGGCCCCTTTGTTCAAAGGCCTTTGAAAACCAGATTGTTGAACAATATTTACGCACCACTTAAAAGTTTGGCTAGTGTATGATGATTTTTATAAGCTTATCTGCATATAATATTCACTTTATTTTATGAAGTGTTTTTGTAATGTTTATTTTTTTACGAGTGTTTCAGGGCTATGTGTAAGGTTGTATTGTTCGTAATATGTAGGCTTAAATTGTTATGAAAAGCCTAATAATAAGAAGAACAAGAGCGATCAGTAATCACATGTGTCGCCTCATGATAGCCAATTTTATTGTGGGACAAGTTTTGTGACAGACGGACAGACAGACGGACAGTGCACAACTAGACTTGGTACTGATCATTCCTGTAAAGTATGGATAAAATTGCACCAGTAGTTTATGAGGAGTAGTCTGGACAAGCTTTTGTGTACCTGGCAACACAAAAAAACACCTTTTTATCAAAGGGCCATGTCTCGGCCAAAAATCATTCAACCGGAAAACCTATGCAATATGCGCAAGGACTTGAGCTACAGATCAATCCTGTAAAGTTTCATGGAAATTGCATAAGTGGTATAAGAGAAGTAGTCCGGGCAAACTTTAAAAACAAAAATTATTAAAGGGCCATAACTCTGTCAAAATCATTGAACCGGAAAATGCTGACAATAGGCACAACTTAACTTGGTACTGATCATTCCTGTAAAGTTTGGATAAAATTGCACCAGTAGTATATGAAAAGTAGTCCGGACAAGTTTTGTGACGGACAGACGGACAGACAGACAGACGACGGAGAAGTGATCCATTAATGTCGCCACTACTCCGTAGGGGCGACACAATAAACTATCAAACAAAATATCTTTCACATTTCAGCTACTCATTTTGAAAACATTTTGGCCCACGTAAACAAAAAATAATTTCTAAAGATTCATAAGTTAATCCATGCTTTTAAAAAATCAATAAAAATAAAGTTAAGCAACACATCAGGGTGGACTTCCCGAAATTTTTGTTCCAAGCGCAATTAACTGTGAACACTGTACACCATACTTACATAACTCTGTATCACAAGACGCTTGATGGAAAACACCTGATGGGGCAACGCTTGCAAGACGCATACTTTCATGTAACACAGCTTCCGTATAACCCAGATTAGGGCGGTCTGCAACTCCTGGTAATCTGTCCCTCCCTGAAGAAGCAATGTACTACCTTTTAAATAACAAGTGATAACTTTATTCTAAAGCACTAATTGTACAGTATATATAGCGAGCTCGACGAGCTGGCCCGAAGGGCCTGCTCGCAAAGCGAGCTTTACAGGAACGCGAGTACCTGCTAAGTGATGGTTTGAAAACTTTCATCCGAAGTACCGAATTGGACAAATTGCAACTTTTCGAATTACAAGATAATGATAAAAGCCTATGTACTCTGATTGAAAACGGGAGCGTAGACTTGTTTCCTGCGCACTTATATAGGAATCATTATAGAAAGGGGGAACCAGAATAAATGGAAGCAGTGAATAAAATACCGAATGATAATTATAAAACGGAAAGGTAAAATAAAAATGAATGATTAATTTAAACTATCTTACGGTTAAAGAATATCGAGCTCGCTTTGAGGCTTTACCCTTTTCATATTATTCAGGTGAATATATATCTGAAGCCTTTAACGAAAACGAGTTTGTATTTACTTTATTCAAATGAACGAAAATCTCAACACAGTAATTGACTGGCGAAGGCATTCTTGAAGGATTAATTGTTCCAAATCAAAATACGCGGAATGCGCTTTTGAGTTGAAATTGTACAATACTTTTAACTTGAGGACTGCTTTGGTAGACAAACGTATTTCACTTACCAACAGCATTATCTATTTCTTCCTGAACCTTTTCTTGTATATCCGGAAATGCCACCATGTGCAACAGGGCAAACCTGAGTGTAAATCGGGATGTGTCTATGCCAGCTAAAATACAGAAATGAAATGAGTATAAAGCAAAATCTATCAGAGCAACTCTTTTAAAATGATCTAGATAACAAAACAAAAAGTTCCCCTCTAACATGTTTACCTTGATTGGATATTAAGCTTTAAATGATATTTTAAAGTAGCAACTTAATTAAATTTTCAATTATAAGCAAACAAAAAACGGTGTTCTCAACGATACATACCAAAGAATATATCAGTAAGCGTTTGAACAAGGTGATCTTCATCTAGTCCTGAGAGTGCGTCTTTTCCATCCTCCTGTTCCGCCTCCATGCGAGCAAGGATCAAATTGTCCGAAAAATGTCGCATGTTATCTATGAAAAAATAGTTCTTTAAAAGGCATAGTCATTATGCCTAAGAAATTCATTTTCCCCGTCTTTAGAAATATCAAACATACGTTTAATTACGTTTAAATAATGAATTATGAGCATAAATTTTAGTTTTGACAACAGGAAAAAGTAGCGCTGAACATGCAGTTATGTCCTAAAGGTAGCGAAATGTAAACAAAGAAATAGAGGATGTTTGTTTGTTTGTGTGTAAGATGAAATTTTATTTCATCGAGTGAGCTTTAAAAACAGTATTCTCACGAGTGGCGTAGCCATGAGTGAGAATACTGTTTTTAAAGTTCACAAGATGAAATAAAATTACATCTTACACAACAAACAGACAAATTTTCTTTTTATTGTATGCTTAAAAACAAGTTAAAACGAAATTTCCATAATTTTAACGTTAATATTAAAATCTGTTTCCCCATTGAGAGCCCCATTTAGACGGAATTTCTCATTTAAAACTAGAAGTCTTAAGCTGAAAAATAAGTCCGCCGATCAAGGTTAAATGACGGTGATATTTATTCATTTTATTAAAAAAATATGAATGATCGCTTGTGTTAATAATAAAAACAAACAATTCTTGCAGGAGAAAATTCCAACCATCCATCCATATTTCTGTTACTTACTGCGAATTTATATTAGACCTGGCTTTCTAAAATGTAAACGGCAGCCATTTTTTAAAGTTGTGTATTTCATGGGAGGAAAATAATTGTGTAAGATTCAGAAGGATATAATTTGGATTTGTTAGTCATACACCTTTTTAAAAGAAAGAAAACTTATTTGAGGATTGTAACAGACAAAAAATAAGTGTTGACAGAAGTGAAAACATTCAGAAAAGGAGCTAGGAAATGGAAAACTTGGAAGCTTGCTGAAGGAACGCTGGGATGTTTTACTTATTTTACGAGTGATGGCTGTCAATGCTTTTCAATTTTTCATAAAGAATACGGCAGTTATTGCTCGTAGGATACTTTAATATGCCCAAATGTCATCAAGAGCAGCTTTGCATGGGGAAGGAATGTATTTTTCAGACTGTAAAAACAAAAAAACAAAAAAAGAAATTAGAGACAAAATTTGGTGATTGGAATTTGAAGGAATAAAAGTAAGTTTTCTCTCTGTGTTACTTTTGACATTTAAGTTATTTATCTATTTCAGCTTTGCTTTTTCTTTTAACAGCCTGACATTGTCGTAAAAATAAAATTGAGGTACCACATGGGGAAAATCTTAAAAAAGTAGTTTCGTCATTGAAAAAAGTGAAATTATATTTTGATAATTTTCACTGTGAAATTATCAAATATAATTTTCACTGATAAATCAGTAATCCACTGAAAAGCATAAAATAAGTACTTGTATTTTGACTTCCATACAAAATACTAATTTACTATAATGACATACTAAGTATTTTTGACTCCACCTTATTCCCTATATGCATCTAACTTTGTTAAATGTTGACTACGTCTCCTTGTTTACACGCATGTTGACTCCACCTTCTTTTCTAACTGCACTTACCTTTATTAAAAGTTGACTCCGCTTCCTTGTATTTTCTTCTTATAAACCCTTCGATCACTTCATTCGTAAACACCTCCATTTCTTTGAAGGCCTGGGTCTTATACACATATTTCAATCCTGGTACAAAGTCCTCCAAGATGCCTGTTGCAAATTTGTCGTTTATTTCGTCTTCGGCTTTCAGAATATAACTCACTTCTTTATCTTTGAAATCATACCTAGATATACCATAACTGACTGGATCAACACACATTTCATTAAACGGAAATTTTCCCTACTTTTCTACTCTAGTAGTCAGCAATAATTAGTAGTAATTATTAAAGAATATACAGAAATTAAAAGCTTATTTCAGAGGAAAAATAAAATGAACAGTATTTGTTTTAATTGCTTAAATGGGGCGTCCGTGGCCGAGTGATTAAATCGTTTTAAATCGAAGCCACCAGTCATTCATCGCTGTGGGTTCGATTTTTGGACTCCTTCCTGGAAGGACTCGGGCTTGTACCAACACATAGAAGACTCAGACAGAGTTCAGACAAAGTTTCAACAGTTCTTATGCGCGGACACAGAAGGTGGGGGCTAGGAGATCATACCCCAACCCCCGCCTTCGGATTTCGCTTATATGTCGCAACCCTGTGAAATTTCAATATCAACTTACATATATAAATAAACATCAACAATAAAAAACAAACAAAAACAAAACAAAAGACGATTTGACTTTGACCATCTCATAAGAAACTAGTACAATGAGATTGGGCACCTCTATAGTATGTATTACCCAAAGCCGAAAAGTCAACGACCTCCGCTCTTCCCTAAACTCTTGAAATACTTCTAGATCTCCCGGCTGAATTAATAACGCAAATTATTTGCATTTTAACACCACTTACTTTCCGCCAAAGCAAAGACTTGTCAGGATGTTGGTAACAATAAAGTTTATGTACTGCTCTGGGTCGAATTGGCCGGAAATTTTGTCAATTTCAACAAACGCCGTTTCTACAGCATCAAAGATTCTGTGCTCTAAGGCGTCTCCTTGCAAATATTGTCTGTAAAGAATGAGACAAGATGATTCAAAAACCATGCAGTTACTCGACGTGTCAATCTTTATAACTCAAAATGTATATTATAATATACAAACGTTTGGCGATTCGCCGCGAGGGTTGTAAAACTTAAATTGGGGTCCATATGCCGCAATTGATGGAATCTGCAAAATCTTAGGTTCCGTTATCTTCACAATCTTGAACAGTTCAAAGTTATTTATTGTACACTTTAAATAGTATTTAGCTATACTTTAAGAAACATTTTCATATAATTTATCCATAGTAACATTTCATTTGTTGCATAAGCTTAAAGGAGTTGTAATAAAGATTCATAAGTCTCTAATTTTACACGCATTGATATTTTAGGAAGACGGAATAATTTGTCCCAGAAAAGGTTTGTATATTCATATATTCAAATTAGACATATTCAGAAATAATGTACTAGATTTTAATAAATTCCTGCAAAGTATTTCACCTAAAGATGAGCATAGTATATCTGAACACACAATATGTTGCTATTTAGATGAAATTATATTCATGATACAGTTTCACATACATTCTATTGTTGATTGCCATTCCAAGATCGATACATTCGTGTTGAGGCAATTGTGTGAACGATTGTCCACCATCAACACAATAGAGGTTATACGGCAACTTTTCTGCTTTACTGACCGAGGATGCCCCTCAGTAAAATATTTTGATTTATCAGATAATGTAAAGCTTTTGTTTTTAAGCTACCAACTTTATGCCGTATTTAGGCAAATTCCAGACGGGCGTCAGGTTGATTAATTGCTTATTAGAATTTCGCCTTTTGATCAATTAAAATGCACTTAATCGCCTAAAGCCGTTTTAAATGCTGTCGTGAATAAAAATTGTAAGAATCGCCGAAAAAAAAATCTACTTTGCGAACTTGATTTCTGTCAAGTGTCTAGAGATACTGCCTCACTACCATATTGAGTAAACTCCTTTGATTAATAAATGATAATAATTTACCGTAAGGCCTTTGACGCAATTTTTCGATGAAGTTTCCATATAGGTCCATAGTTGCTAAAAGCAATATCTTTTCCACCATACGTAAACATTTCAACTGTAAAATATAAAGACAATCGTTCTCATTGAAATAAATGAACATATAAATGATCTTTTT